ATAACTGTGTTTGAGTATTTGCCTCTAAGAAGAACAGAAATGAAAATACAACAAACTTAAGTACAGGTACATGAAAACTGTAGTAGATATTTGTTCTCTGCTCAGTACCAGCTCCGCCTCAGTCGCACCTTGTGACTCATGCATCAGGCTTTTACAGACCAGGGTCAAGAGGAGTTTTCTTTGTTTTACTGGAGCTGTAATGTTGTACAGTGACCACGTACTTCACAGTATTATACCAGTAGTACTATTTACTGTCTCACAAAACTGCGAATGACTCCGTGCAAGTAGAAAAGAAATGGACAAAAACTGTGATTCAAGCTTTTTGTTTTACACATTTGAAGATTTGAGTCCGAAGCAGTGATGATTGAATTATTATAGTAAAATGTACCAATGGAACATTCCAACATAAACCATAGAATTATAAACTCGATGAAACCGTTTGACACGGAAGAAGACGCTGTCAACTTTTGTTAGAATGAGTTTAAAAAGCAACGTGACGACAGGATCAGTGAAACATGATCCAGTTTCTTTGTTCTGGTTAAAACCTGCAGCTGAGCAAACACAGAGGCTCGTGTGCTGCTGCAGCGGCCGTAGGTTCGATTCCGACATCACCCTTTGCTGCATGTAATCCTCGCTCGCTCTCTCCACATTTCACGCTACAGCTCAGAAAATATCTAGAATACGAGTTTGTATCACAATGTATCTAGGAAATGCATGTCCTGTAAAAATAGAGGTGATCTGCTGACTGTCATTTGCTGAAAGTTCTGCTCCATTGACTCTAAGTTCTTCTACTTTCTCCACAGATAATCGTGAAAATGGAGGGAGGAAATTTGTGAGTATACACCACATCTCTGTTTAACGCTCAGTTCTGCCACATTGAACAGGTTCTTCTCGTTTATTTAAAGTGCAGTGGACAGATTTAACAGATTTTTTTTAAAAATCTAACTGCACATTTGGTTGCAGTGGCTACTCCCGCGACTATCTCGACCGCTTCATCCAAAGCCAGGACTCGTCCGTGGTGAACAAGTTCCAGCAGAAGTACTGGAAAACCAAGCAGACGCTCATCAAGGTCACCGGGAAGAAAGAGGACGAGCATGTGGTGGCATCGGACGCCGATCTGGACGGCAAGCTGGAGGTGAGGAGGAAATAAGAGACTGTGCGTGTCGGGGGAGTTTTACAGCGTCCTCACTGACTGCCATGTTTGCTTCCAGGAGCCTTTAGTCACATCACAGAGTCATTAAGAAGCACGGGAGATCCTTCCGCCTCAGGTGGATTCTTCAGTTGACTAAAATGGCTTTTTGATTCACACGATGCCAGCATTAGCCTGAGGCCTAGATCTTACATTAGGCCGCCTCTCCACCCTCCATCATCGGCGCCTCTGTTCCAGGGGTGAGGGGAATTTAATGGCTGAAATCGATACTTCATAAAAGCTTGGACATCCAACCGTAATTTAGATCAGGCCCTCGATAAAAAAGGAGATAAACCGCTCAAAACTTGATATCTACATAATGGATCATTTTTTTAAAGCGTAGATGTGACATTTTAAAAACTCCAGTGTTTAATATCACTTCTTGAAACCAATCAAGTATCTTGGGTGGATCCAGGTTTCTTGAAAACAACAGAAACTCTCAGTTTATTCCGCGAGTTGACTACACACGAGCTTCACTCAAAGAAAATCACTTCAGCTGCTTCTTTGCCTTTATGCTGGTTGTTCTTGTGCCCTGCAGGTCTTTCACTCCATCCAGAGAACGTGCATGGAGCTGCTGAAGGTCATAGAGCAGTACCAGAGGAGGATCTGTTGTACGTTCACATTTATCATTTATTTACAATTGGTCTCACAGGGTTTTAACGAGGTGCGACATCCTCTGAGTAAAACTACCCAATTAACAACCCTATTACGTGCACATGGAAGTTCGTATTCCAGAGATGATCCTTCCTCTTTTAAATGTTCTACAAGCTGTACAGCATTTAAATATGAGACCTCATTTACGAGAGCATTATTAATTTAAGACTATAAACAATAATACATATATATATCCATCCATCAGTGGTTCAGAATCCCTTTGGATGTCTGAGCTCATCATCTCGCCTGTGTTGCCGTGTTCAGTACATGAACTAATTAATAATGTCATCTGATAAAACTGCACATCCATTCTTTCAAGGTTTGTACTGATTGAATCTGAAGGCTGCATTCTTCGTCTCTCCTGCGCAGTTCTTTCCCAGGAAGAGAATGAACTGGGTCGCTTCCTGCGCTCCCAGGGCTCGCAGGATAAAACCAGGGCTGGAAAGATCATGCAGGCCACAGGGAAAGCGCTCTGCTTCTCCTCCCAGCAGAGGTAGGCAGCACACAAAAGTATCATCACTGTGTCTGTAACCGTTGTCTCCAGATAATTCACATAAAACTTGCAGCTGCACTAGAAAAAAACCGTAAACTCAATGACACTCAAATCCCACAAAGGAAACAGGGAAGACAGTCTTGTTTGTTTGAGTGTGGACACGTCCAGGAAATTTGAACCCAAAGGAAGCAAATGATCACAGTTACAGGACAGACGACAAGTTTCCTAAACAGCAGCTGTAGGTTCAACTCTGATAGCTGAATAATTGGTTCTGTATCTCTGTTGGCTAAAAAGAAAAACAGGACAAAGCAACCACACATAATTACTGATAATACAAAGTGGTCCTCTACACTAATTTAATACCTCTGTTATTGTCCTGTTATTAATGGGGAATGATTATTCAGTAGAGTGTATTATATACTATCTAAGTACTGTTCACCAGTAACAGCACCCTAACAGTGGCTTTAACGTTCGCGTCCTACAGAGTGGCTCTGAGGAACCCTCTGTGCCGGTTGTACCAGGAGGTGGAGACTTTCCGCTATCGAGCCATCTCAGACACGTGGCTGACGGTGAATCGCATGGAGCAGTCGAGGACCGAGTACCGCGGGGCGCTGCTGTGGATGAAGGACGTGTCTCAGGAGCTGGATCCAGACACGCACAAGCAGATGGAGAAATTCCGCAAGGTTTGCCGCAGACAGCTCAACACACGATGACAGTTAAAATAAGTAACGGCTGTATTTCATGTGGTTCTGATGACCATGACCTTTCGCCATACCAAGTCAAGAATGTCGACTGTGAAAGCTCGACAATTCCCTTTAACGGGAAAGTCAAATATCAAATATCAATATCCTCCTCCAAGGCCCAGAAAACACATTTAAATCCACTAGATCCAGATTTTAATTTGGATCCACACAAAACTGCTCATTCTTTCAGTCTCCTGAATTTGTTTGTTTTATCAAGCTCCTTGAATTCTTCCTTTTCACCAAGTTTCATGGAATCTGTTCCAGTAATTGTGTGTAATCCTGCAGACAAACAAACAAACGGACTTCAGCCTTGAGCAATGAAATATAATGACTCATAATTTCATCCTCAATCTGCTGAAATACCCCAAAACCACACAAAGGGCATGACGGAGGACAAACGTTGAGAAATGCCACTAGATGGTGCAACACACCCTCAAATTGTTCAGACCACAATGCTACGAGGACCCAGCATGCTCTCCTCTGCTTCACTTGCACAAACATGAACTCGAGTGTTTCCACTGCTCACACCTGCATGACACGTGACACTGGCTGCCGATGTTCAGTTGGGACATTTCCATATCTATTATCTCTCAGGTTCAGGCTCAGGTGCGCTCAACCAAAACCAGCTTTGACAAACTGAAGAACGACGTCTGTCAGAAGGTGGACCTGCTGGGAGCCAGTCGCTGCAACCTCCTCTCTCACGTTCTAACCACGTACCAGGTACACGCAACACATCTGGGCAGTTTGCACACACTCCATTGATACTGAACAGGCTGTTGTCGGTGGCTCCACCACATCCAGCGACGACAGGAAGGAAGACAAACACAAAGGGAACAAAGGAATTCACTGCAGAGGTTTAACCATCACGGCAGAGACGACGGCGGCGACGCTTCGCTGTGCTCTTCGCTCTTCTTCTAACCGTTTTCAGCTGAATGTGTTGCTCTTGTTCTGCGGTTTCAGACGACACTCTTGCACTTCTGGGAGAAGACATCCCACACGATGGCAGCCATTCACGAGAGCTTCAAGGGCAGTCAGCATTATGAGTTCTCCACACTGAAGGTCAGAGGTCACCTCCACCCGAACTGATCCGAGTTCGAACATTGACGTTTACATGGACACTAAAATACGACTATTGACTTAACTCTGAATATTACTACTAAGATGTTTACATGAGTTACTAAGAGATTTTATTCATCTTCCCGTCTGATTCTGCTCTGAGCATCTTACAGCCGACCGCTGTCAAGCATTAGGCAACTGCCATAGGACGTTACACTGTGATTAAGACATATATGGGTTATCATAGTGTAAATATGGTTAAAGTACTTCGTCTTCATTTAATCCTCATTCGAAATATGACGTTATTCGGGTTTTAGGTCGTTAGAAAAATGCTGTTTTCATGACAGCGTCTTATTCAGACTATTCTCTTGATAATGTTAATATCAGTAGATTTAAACCTGGAGAATTAGAATTAACTTTGTTTTTCCTGCAGACTTTAAAAGACCCTGTGGACAAGCTGGTGAGAAAGAAAGGGAAGAAGAAAAGTAGAGTAGAGACTGAGGACGGAAAGAAAAGTGAGACCACAGACAACCAGTGAGTTCTAACAAGTCTCATCGTGATGTTTGCTCATGGAGGCAGACGGAACACTGAACCAGTCTGTCTACACCTGTCGTCTTATGTTTACATGAAGTTTTACAAAGTTCTGTTTTTTATATTCATAGACTCATCTCACTAGAGAGTGAAACCACCAGCGACAGGATGGACGAAGGTAAACACGTACAAAGTTTAACATTTATGTAACTGCAGGAGGTTCCTCCAGTATTTTTAATCTTCTGTGGAAATACTTGGATTTGGGGCTAATCTGATCATTTTCTTAATTAATCAATCAGCCAATAAAACGCACAAAACTGGTGAATAACACGATGTGTCACTATCATCGACCCGCAGAGCCGGAGAGCTCCTGTCCCCGCCCCCCACCTCTCTCATCCTGTCCAGAGTTGGAGGGTGAGGAGGACAGCATGGCCTTACTCAACGAGATCCTGGGCAGTTTGTCTGTGGACGAGGGCGACTTCTCTCGAGAGTGGACGGAAGTGTTTGGAGACACCGAGGACGGGACGAGCGCAGCGGCGTCCGGTCGACCGGCAGACGCACAGCAAAGGGAAAACTCCTTTTTTCTACCGTCTCATCTGCTCGACCAAAGCTTGAACAACCTGCACTCTTCCCTCTCAGGTCAGGACACGTTCAGCGTACTTTCAATAGAAAATATTTATATTGCCATTCATCAATTGTGCACTACTTTTTACAATGCATTGTGGGATAGAAGGAGTTCACTTTACATGGTCTAAATATCCTCACTAGAGATTCAGCTCTACAAAATGGAAAAATCACTATATGGTGAGTAGCAAGCGATTTTAAAAGTATCCTACATGTTTTCTATCAAAAAGACATTAGCTGAGGTTTCGACCATTAGGGAGAACTACTCTCTCAGCTGAAACATCAGAACTAGCCGCAATGTCATTAGGCACCGAAAAAAGAAAAAAGAACCTGCATTGTACATGAAATTTCCATGAAATTGACCATTAAGAATTAAAAAAACAAGATTAAAATAAGTAGCTCACCGTTTCCACACAGGGAGAAAAGTGGCTGTATAATGATTTATCAAACCCCCGTCTGTCAGAGTAATAGAAGGAAGCTATTACAACATGGCAATTAGATTTGCCGACCTATAGGTAATGGCCAACTACTTTCCATTCATCCGGGCCCGGGCGTCTGGTTTTGTTTGAATCGGTTTTGTCTATTTCCAGCGTGGACGGTTACGAGTGGCAGCACTATTAAAAAGTCATTAAGAAATGTAAAAACTATATTCTGGGGATTTTCGTCATGGATGAAATTAAAATAGGAAAAAAAAGAGAAATTAGTTGATTAACATTATGTGGTAAGACACTAACTCTTTGTGGCAGAGAGTAATAATAAAATAAAACGTTTATGAAAAGAAAAACGTGGGTTCAGGAGAAAACATCTGTTCTGTGGGTTCTGATGAGTCCAGCTGCTCAGTGAAGCACACCCGGGTCTGATCAGTCTCCTTTTTAAAAAAGCTGTTACACGTTGGAGCTGCTTGAGGTTTTCCAACAACTCGAATTCCAAATTAAAAGACAACAAGGTAGAAAAACCTGCAGTATTTAATATAATTAACTCTCAACAGGATTCAGTCAGAACCAGAGGAATGATTTTAAACTTCTCAAAGCGCACGAGGCTGCACTCGGCCTGTTGGTGCAGGTAACAAATTGTGCAGATGCCGACTTATAAAACATTTGATAGCATCAATCTTCGCTGGGAGCCAAAGAAGTCACCACTGCACACGACGGCAGAAACCGAAGCTCGTGACGGTTTGTCAACTGAAAGATCGGAGCCCACAACAGACGAGAGAGAGAGAGAGAGCCTGGTCCATGGAGTCAAACAACAATCCTGATCACACAGCATGAGAAACCAAAGCAAAAGCAAAAAGGGCAAAAGATCAAGAATGTGAAACAAAGCTGACAAATCATTAAGCAAGAAATTCCCAAATTTCAGCCAAAAACACACACAAACACACACAAACACACACAAACACGCTCCAGTTACACCTCAATCTAAACTCTAAGATTTCACCACCTTAAAATAAAAAAAAAGAAGATTTATCAGCAGATCAACATCACGGGACACGTATCTGAAAAGTGTTTTATTACCTCAGAGCCTACGTTAAGTTTGAATTACACAAAAACTACTAAACCGATTGTATTGAATCTTGGTTGAACGGTGGAAATTGAGCCTGAAGAACCCATGAGCTCTTGGAGCAGATTCCATTTTTCACTTTAGTTTAAATTACGAGATTCCTGGTGTGCTTCTAGTTTATTCTATTCCATTTCTTCTTCTACAAGGGAAGTTCTGAAAATGTCGACAAGGGGATTAAAACACAGAGAACTCGGACATCTCCTACCTTCGTCTTTATACAACATCAAACTGCTACTTTTGGTGTTACTTTATTATTTGGAGTTTTACTTTATTATTCGTTTCACCCAATTATCCGCAAGTACAACATCGAAAGCACATTCCAACGTCCTCCCGGGTGATATCTGTTCCTACATGTTTTATCATCGAGATACAAACGGACAAACTCAAGATAAACTTTCTCAAACAAGAGTTCAGGAATGTAACTGCAAATCTTAGCTTGTATTTAATGACCCGGCGATAACGGCTGATTTGATTTTGCTGCAGTAATTGTTTCTGATCTGTTTGTGTGAGACTGTTACACAATATCGGTGCGAGAGAGATTGAGATTTGTATGTAGGATCACGATTTGTGTGTCTGCTGTTGATTAATCCAAATCTGCGTCTCCTTTTCAGATTGGGCCGACACCGCTCCGGCGCCCGTCGCCCAGACAACGGAGCCCTCATCTGGTGCCAATCAGAACGCTCCTAAGCCAGCCGTGAAAGGTAGGACGGATCAAAACGTGTCAAACGTGTGAGATTCGAAAGAAAAAAAGTGAAACTTGGCATGAGGAGAAAAGGAACTTTCTAAGAACTCGTGGGTTGTTATCGATTCATCATTTTTGCAACATCATTTTATATTCTTATCCCTTATCTCATTTCTCAGGGAAAGTGGCGACGTCCAAAGACCTATCGGCGTGGTTCAACCTGTTCGCCGACTTGGACCCGCTCTCCAATCCCGATGCTGTCGGCAAAACTGACTCAGCACATGAACTTCACACGGCATAGTTCGCCCCCCCCCGAGTGACGGTGATCTCTTCTCAAACCGAAGCCTTCGTTAGTGGGAACAGCAGCGTATTGCTTCCACTGAGTTCGGAGAAATATCTGTTAGAAGCCAATTTATTAATCAGCAGCTATGATGTAAATGATTTCAGTCGTTTTTAAGGAAAAGTAGTTTCAGAAGATTTGATGCTCCTCATCATATGTTTGGCTTTTGACCCGTTGCTAAAACAAATGGGAACAACACATACTTCCAGCTGCAATTTTTTCCATGGATGCTGGATTAACAACATTTCAGAAGGTTTGAAAAACATATTTTGAAGCTTCCACTAAAGGATTTATTTGCCTTAGCGACGTTTCGAGTAATCTCTACACAGCTTCTGAATAAACAGAATCTGTTGGCAAGGGACAGGCCGGAAGCTTTTGTTTTCTATTTCTCGAACGATGTTTGAGCAGGTTCAGTTTGCCCGCAGGTAAACTGTCTGTTTGGAGAGTAAGAGAGGCAGAACACGTCCATCCTAATGCACCGGCTATCATTTTTAATTTACCTGCATTTGTATGCGGATGGCGGTTAACAAGAGATTAGCTGAACTGTTGTCTGCAGCTCAAACACCTACAAAAAGCATCTCTGTAGATTTCGTCTCTCAACTCGGTGAACGGAGGATCGTCTCGGCCCTGCTGTCTAAACCACACGACACCGGAACCCCCCAAAATATTGTCGGTCGCCGCCACGTTTGTCTCACAGCAGCCGATGGGCTCAAAAATTGTGTTTCGGGCACAAGGCTCCTCCTCACGCTCTTGTAACCAGAACATTTAGTAAAAACAAACAGGTGTTTTAATATCTTAATTTAAAATATTGAGAATAATAATACGAATGACTCTAACAAGGTACATTTTCAGATTTTCTCATAGTGGCAGAAACATTCTGCAGTATGAGTCCACACTAATCACCACCAGCTCTCGTGTCCTTTCCGTTGTGAAAGAAAACAAACTTTTACAACACGACCTTATGAAGCCTGTTTGCTATTTACCTTGGTTAAGCACTAAACGTTGAGCATGGATACCTCAGAGAGAGTTTGGAACAATAAGCCTTTGACGTTCGCTGCCTTGGAGATCTTTAGTCTCTCGTAGCATTCACGCTTTATTTCTGATTCTCGTTACTGCAGATCGCAAACAGACAAGACTTCTTTGACTTAATGAGAAACAACAGTCGGGGGGGGAGGGCCGTGGAAAAGCAAAGATCACAGTGCAATAGTTCATGTTTGCAAAATAGTTCATGATGCTGGGTGAAGGAAAGTTAATGAAATATCCAAAAGTATATTTTTCTGCCATTGATGGATTAAACTGTCACTGAAATTATACTTCTCGTCACATGTGAGTGAACTGGATGAAGCAAGAAGTTGTTGAAAAAATGTTTCCTCTCTGAGATTAATGCTCTTTAAATCTGCTTGCTGCAGTTGTGCTGTAGATGTGATCCAGCTTTTAAATATATTCCATGTGTCACCACAGAATTCCACATTTCATAAATATACATTTACTGTTGCATGTTGCATGAATTGTTTTTGTTCACCAGTATAAATACACATTCGATCATTTTGTACATGTATTTATTTAACTCCTGCAGTTTTCAGTGTTTTGTTTTCTAAAGGTTTGTTAATCATGGAAATACAATCAAACATACTGACTTTGACGACAATGCTGCATAGATTGATGTTTCAGTAAATGCCTTAATCTACTCACTACTCAACAGTATTGAACCTCATTATAATCATTATTGGATTCCTTCTGCAGTATATTATAACCGAGAGTGACTTTATTTTATTGTGATTGACGTGTGCTCATTTTTAAATCATAACCAAATGCATTGATTGCCTTACCCTGACTCCTTTTGACTCTTTTAAAAGGATTACAAACCAAAATCTGTGACTTTTCTGTTTTCTTTATTGAAAAACACACAAGTTCTACATAAAAATGCGTAATACACAGGAAAACTGAATTACCGTCGCCGAACATGGCAACCATCTCTCAACTGCGCTGCACAATGAGCTTGCGAATAAGAATTAGTTTTAGTACGATTGAAACTCACGGAGCCGAGAGCAGAACAGAGAATTTCAACTTAATCTGTGAGGAATGTTTTGCATATGTTGTTCATATTTGATTCTGTGTGCGAGTGTGTAGACAGACCAGCGTTTTGGAATGGAACGTTTCCTTGTTAAATCCTCCCGTTGAAGGTTAACCTGCTGTAAATCTTAAATATGTTCTAGTGATACAACATGTGCAGGGAACATCAGGGAACATCTGCTACGACGTGTATCTTGAGCCAAACTGTGTTACACAAAATATATGTTAGTGTACGTTTACAGTACTTCAAAAACAAAATCAATTGCACACTCAAGTTCTGATTGTTTTAACAAATTGGTCCAAAATAAAAAGTAGTGATTATCATCTCACTCAAAAAGTAAGTGCTTAGGCTTGTTGAACTATTAACGCCTGTGTTTCAAACAACATCAACCAGTGTTTATATGTTGAAGTGTGTGGAAAACAAAACAAAAACACACTAACATTCGGTTTCTTGCACAAAACGGTGCCTTGTGTGTCCCAAATGCACGACAGGCCTTTCATTGTTTTCAAATTAACTTTGGTACATTTCTAACAAAGGGGCAAAACAGACAATGGAATTGTTGACTTCTCAATTTGGAAGGGTGTAGCTTATTTAGCTAGTTCCATTTACACGAGGACTGACTGTTGACCGATGCAACAGCGATCTCTGGAATGTGTCATAGCACCTGAAACTCCTGAACAGGTTCATGCAAAAGCCACGAGTCACAAACTGTGACATCAACAATCGGATTCAGTCTGTAATAACGTCTTTCTCCGGGGAGAAAAAAATAAAATATTTCTGTCAGAGAAAGTCATAAACACTTGGAAAAGGCAACTTAGTCCAAGCAAGTACATTCCACATGACCTGAGTTATTGTTCGGGGTAGAGTGGGGCAATACAACAAGGCAACGGGGGGGTTGTGTGCTTTGTGACTGGTTATTTGGTCTCTGAAAAACTTGAAGTCGTGTTGAACCGAGTGATCAGACTAACGTGGATCAAAGTCTCGGCTCTTGTTGTCTGGAGCCTCACACTGACACTGTGCTGCGAAGACTTCAAAATAAACAAATGAAAAAATAGGCCGTGGCCTGTTTCTTTCTGAGCCAGCTCTTAACAAGTGCAAACACTGTGGTTAATGTGGGAGAGAGTATTCGGACTGCAAGACGTCCCGATATGTTAAATACTGTATATGAAACAAAAACCATCCCATCCTGTCAAAAAGCTTATATATGTGTACTTAAGCTCGCTGAACACTTGACAGCTAGTAAGCTGATTACATAACAATGAGTAGACTGTGTTTGTGATATCCCATCGTTGTCTCTTGTCAAAGTTTTGGATTTTTTTCCTTTTTTTTTTTTTATTTCAACTCGATAAAACTGCCAGTGCTATGTAACAATAATTTGAAAAAGAAAGCGAAGCTATATTTGTTACGGGTGGTATCAGGGTAAAGAGGAGAAGGCTAGGTTAGTGATGGGTAAAAGGAGGCTGTGCCCAAGGTCAACACACTCTAAACTCTGAGAGACGATGACCAAGTCATGTGTTCTCGATAAAACGTCACAGACGGCGGGACAAGTTGAAACCGAGCAGAAATGCTTGTGCAGCGGGATGTTGGTACCGTTAGCCATAAGATTTTCTCTTTTCTAGACCTTGGGCACTCCCTGCTGGCTAATGTTAGGATTAACGGAGTGCAAGGATTTTTTTGTTTGTTTTCTTCTTTTTCATTTCTTTTTTAAATTTTTATTATTTTTTTAAACCATACCACCCGACTAGTTGAAATGTTTTCTCTGTAGGTGGTTTGGTCATGAATACCTGAGGACTAGCTGGTGAGCAGAACTTGTGCTGAGCCGTCTTTCCCCACATCTGCGTCGGGGCTCGGGCTGTCTGTGCTGCTGTCTGTGTTTACGCCTGTGCTTTTGTCGATGCTCCGGTCAGCGGAGGCCGGAAAGGTAGGTAGTGGTGCAGTGGGCAGAGTCGGGGTCACCAGAGGTCCGGCGTTCTCACTGCCATGGAGGCCGGGGTTGGCCGAGGAGCAGGATAAGGGAGAAACCGGGGAGAAGAGGGAGGAGCAGAGGAGTTTGACGGGGCAGAAGGCCGAGCCCCTGGGAATGAAGTTCACCTTGTTTTTGTCCGGGCATGAGAAGAGAGGGAAGCCTTTTGATTTGCCAGACCTAGAGACGACACAGGTTTAACTCAGTTAATATGACTGTTTGGATTTAAGGCGAGTTGTTTATCCTATAAAACCATTTTCCATGTTACTTTAATGTACTACTGAGAGGCTGTGAAATACTACATAAACTCTGGTGTGTCTTTTAACGATCTGCGCTCGGACGGTGGAAAACTGCATAAGTGTCAGAAATGAGCAGGCATTTGAAAAACGACACAGATCTCAAATCGACAAGAAAAGAAAGAAGACTTACACCAACTCGTCAAACACTTTGACCTTCTCACAGCCCTCTGGAGGTTCACGTTTAAACATGTAGCTGTTGTTAGGTTTGGGAGAGGTGGCAAACTTGGGGAGAGGAGAACTGCACACACTGTCTGAAAAACACAGGAAAGAATAAGACATATTTACTTGGGTTGTTTTTCAGTTGTGATGCGACAAACAGTGCTAGAAACCCTTTTCCTTTTATTTAACAATAAACTGGCAAACTGTTGTTCATTTATCTGTTATAATATCTGTTACATGTTTTACACACAGGCCTCCATGTATTATATCTTTAAGCATTTTTACTCACCAAGACCTGTGAATGCACCCTGATGTTAAAATTAGATGGAGTTTCCTTTTTAATTTGCTGAACACTAAAGCTGCATCTGTCAAACAGCGCAGGCGTACCTTTGTCAATTTCCTCTGCAGAACAGGGACTTCCATCGGGGGAGTGGAGGTGGTCAGAGCTGCAGGGGCGGGGCGACGGGCTGGAGTCGCCGCTTGAAGGCGCCTGTGTGTCTGTGTCACGTGTGTCCCCGCCGTTGCTGTAGCGGTGCGGAGGGAAAGGGGGGCGACGGCCATCCACTGCGTCCATGGACTGTTAGGTCAGAGCGCATAGGAGGTGGTGTTAACATACATGTTTTGGAAAAGGGCAGAAAGGTGATGCAGAGCGTTTCAAGAGAATCATGACTCAAAAGGTCACATTCAATCCTCCAGTTTGTCCTCGAAAAACATGTGACCTGATTTAGAGTTCCTGTCCGGGACATATAAACGGCTCTCCGCTCACCCACTGGATGACAGTCTGGCTTAAGAGCGTCAACTAAAAAAATAATATGAATCCATGACTGGGAGTGAAAGGCCACTGGTGTGTTTGTTGTCTGTTTAAAGGGCAACTGGAGAAGCAAACACAGATGGTAATACTTGACAGCCGATGATCAGTGTGATATGCAGAGTGTTCTGCTTTGGCACGGCTGATTCCAACAGGAGGGCAGGGAGAAAAGCTTCGTGCACAGTGGGCAGTAAATCTGTAGTTGTGTGATGTTTGTATGCGTGTTTAAACTGTGCGTGTGTGTGTGTGGCTTTCTAAGAGGGAAGCTTTACAGACCTGCCAAGGTTTACTACCCCACATCAGACAAGATTTACTGGTCTACTTGTCTCGTAGACATTTAATTCAGTGTGAGTGAGAATATATGTGTCCTGTTGACCGACTGTACAGTGCACTGTGTTGTGACTTTACAGGAGTGTTGCTTGCATGCATGCAATAAATATTAAGCACGGCCTCAAAAGCTGCCAAATAGGTGTAAATCCTGCCTTCTCCATGTTAGCAGATGGGTCATGGAACAAACTAAAAAGTCAAAATTGAAATCTAATAAATGTTTCTCAGACATGGTTTCTGTCGTTTTAGGTGTTTTTTTAATCACACTGATCTTTGTTCAAGTGTTAATTTTATGATCATCTTGGTTTTAATTACCTCTATCAACAGGGTTTTGATTGTTAGTCAGCAGGATTATGCAAACACTGCTGGACAATTACCTCAAAGGTTTGTGGAACACTGCATTATGGGTAACATTTTGGTGCAAATCAAGATCAGATTCAGGATTTCTTTCCCCCACTCTCTTTAACATTGCTCAGAGGATAATTCACAGATCAGGCAGGTTCATGGGAGTAATATTTCTGAGGGTTAATAATGTGGTGCAGGTTCAAATAAAAATCCAGATCTAGTGGAAAACCATTCGGTAGTTTTGTACCTAATCCTGCTGAAAGACCAACTAATGGAGAGGGTCAAAAACATAACCACCATTTGTGGAGTAGTTGATTGTATGTAAGTGACTTCACATCTAACATGAAGATATTATAGATTTGGGAATTTAATGTATAACTCAATTATAATCATAATTTACGAGGATAACTACAACTTGGCTGCTTGTATGAACACTCAGATAAGACACAACAGATGAGGAGACTTCTCAAATCAATTTGTGTTAGGTGAGTGTGTGTATTTCCCTACCTGGATCCCCTGCTCCCAGTCGTCTCTGATAAATACATTTTCTAGCTCGTGGTTGATGCCCTCCACGCTGCTCGGAACTCGGCATATGAAGGATTTTGGCACAGGGATCATCGACAAGGCTGACGAAGGTCCCTTGTACTGGAAGGAGAGACAGACAAAAAAACAACATATACTATAAATATGACGCACCACAACCCATTCATATCAGTTACATAATCAAATACATAATAGCGCATGTGTTTGAGACCGACACCAAGATCTGCTGGCAGTCCTGAATTGTGGCTGATCCAGTTTCATGATATTTAATGGGTGGAGATGTTCAGTGTAAATACATGTTACTATAGTGGGATTAGATGTCACAGAGAACACAAACAAAGAAATGACTGTCATCGAGAGGGTATAGCATGTCACTGTCTCTGTTCATTTTCCCACAGTGGTTCATGTGTGCTGTTGCTTGGCATCTGTTAATGAATGAACTCCAAACAAGCAGAGGACGACTGGACATGCCCAGACTTATCCCCCCTCTCCCCTTGTGACACCGCTGGTTAGAGCAGGGACTCATTAGCTAGAACTTGTCAGTGCAACATACAACAGCAAAAACTCAAAGACCAAATATGACCAACACTACACACAAGACTATAAAATACTGTCACTTGTTAATTATTTTACCCGGAGATTCCTCCATAGCCATGTGTGTATGTATATGCATTAATGGATTGTCTATATGTATAAATATCAAATATATATAATTTAAATTCATTTTGTTATAAAGTCATTCATCACAATAATTAAAAAGGGGTACAAGGGGCATCACAGACATTAAAACAGAAAACATGCAGCGCAATAACAACTTCTAACAAGTTGATGTAAGAGACAATGGATAGAATCAACAAATGTCTGTTTAAAACTAATAATAACAAACACAAAAAAATAAGGCATGAATCTAAGGTCTCTATCTATTTGCTTTATAATTATAAAATAATGATACACTTTAGATTCATAAACTGAAAGCACTATAACAAATTTACCTCGTGATTTATTCATTCATTCACGTTTATTAACTGGGTAATGTAGAAAGTCACCTTGCTTAACCCAGGTTTGCTCACTTTCAGTTTTCTTATCTTTAACAGCTGTGATATGGTTTGGTTACCATCTGTTTCAGTTGTATGTGTTTCTTTGCTTGGCTGCTAAGCTACCTTATCACATCACTACTGCCAGATTAAAATCATGAGTTCGTTAGTGTCTGTGGCTGAAGGGAGCATGCCAGGATTTCATTTGGCAGAGCTGGAGTAACTCACCTGAGGTTGGCATGCAGTGTTGTGCAGTGCCTGTTGCGGCAGCTGCAGCGAGCTCTGCTCCCTGTCTTTACTCTGCCGGCTGACCTGTTTGCTGCGCTGCAGCTGCAGTCGTAGTTTAGCAATCTGCTGGAGGAAGAGACACATGACATGACTTCAGCTAATGGCTCACAATCAAGTACATTTTTCAGTCAGCAAAGCATTTATAAATTTTACCATCATTGAAATGCATGAAGACAGCAGACTGTAGGCAAGATTTGCTTCCATGAAGGACATTTAATCTACCTGTTTTAAAAGTGTATTTAAACAGTGAAAAATTATAGATGACTTCCAAGACGCTAAGCAGATGTCTTCAAATATCTTGTCTGACTGGCAACATGGTTGAAAATCTATTTACTATAATAATGTGGTAGGCATTAGTTGAAAAACTGAAAATACCAAGTGTAAATTACAATTTAAATAGATTTTATTATCAGAGTTATTGGATTTGAATATATTTTCTTATTGATTTAACTTGTTCCTTTTTGCAACTGATGGGAGAACAATAATAGTCTGTTATTTGACTGACAAATATAATTTGACACTATTTGGCTTTTTCATTTAACGTGAACTACTGTGTGTCGAATTTGTCTGATGATGAAACAAGTCAGGTCACTGGGTGTTTCTGCATGTGGCCCAGTATCATCTTAAAAACAGGATACCCTTTGTGAGCCTAACAGACGCAGTTGTACTATGCAGACAAAGGTGTGGTCTTCAGTGCTGATCTTGTAATCCTGGCAACACAGTCAACAAAGAGACTCGCTCTTTTCATAGATGTCCTCCCACACACGGAATCAGAGGTTACAGAGCAAGAATGCAGTTCACTACATTCATCGAGTGACCGCAGCAGTTGATAATGACAAGTCCAGACAATCCCGATATAATCTCAAGAGGATGAGAAAGAGGTTTTCCTGGCTGCGCTGTGCTAGTGATTGTGCAGCCAAGGTCCTGGGATTGTTTTCAGAAAGCTGAAAACTTCTTAGAGTGTATGACTACATTTACACATGAATGTTTATTTTAGAAAATCAGATAACGAGGGCTGCAAAAGTTAATCAATTTAATCAATTAGAATTGATTATTAAAATAGCTGTCTACTAATTTAGTTATCGATTAGTCGGGTCTGTTATAAAGTCATGTACACACAATGTCTCCTGTGGCTTGTGTAGCTCACGTGACGCTGCCGTCTCCTCTCTGGATTAAACATTTGGAAAATGGCGAAGACAAACACCGCTAACGATATATCAGAGACAAGTCGTCAAAAGTGTGGGAACATTTTACATTAAAGCCTTCAGAGACTGTTTGATGCAAACTGTGTAAAGCTGATTTCATGTGACACATCATAACTGTGGTATGAACCTAAAGAGAAAACCTGTTGGAGCCACCCTTCCTCTTCTTCTCTCGGTTTACTGGTGGGTCGTAAATTACTTTCAGGTTCATACTGCAGTGATGTGCAGCTGTGGCATGTGAAATCTGCTTTGTACAGGTTTTCTTTGAGGCTTTAATGAAATCCTTCACACACTTTTAACTAAGACATGGAGACTACACTCAACTCGACAGCAGTGGAAGATCTGTACAATCGCAGTTTAAAGATTGGTATCTGAAATATGGTCACAATCTCTCCCCCTTATCTTGAGTTATGGTTTTGAATAAAGGCCAGAGAGGTGTTATTGCAGAACATTATGATGTCACAAATAAATTGACCTATTGGACATAAAATTACATTGATGTCATCATTTTATTATATAAGACATGAAATCTTGTCAAAATTAGCACATGAATTCTTGAGTTAAAGCAAAAATGTGTTTGTGAGGTCACAGTGACCTTGGCCACAAAAATCTGATCTGATCCAAGTGAATGTTTGTGCCAAATTTGAAGAAATACCTTCAAGATGTTCACGAGATATTAAATTCACCAGAATAGGGCAGACAGATGAATAAACTTCACCCATGGTTGTTGCCAGTGTGACGCCATAATAAAAACCTGAACACTTCCATATGCCGTCTTCATTTAAACAGCAGTGTGAATAACTCTGAACCCATATATGTCACTTCATGTACCCAGTATGTCCAGAGAAGTGTAATCGAGTGATCGAAAAAAGTAAAGTCAAAGTCTGTTTGATCCAGGGAACATTTGGGTATTGGCTGACCATAGATATCTGTGCGTTATGAAGTCATTACAAAATTAATTTTATAGTTCTTGACATGTTGGCTTTTTCGTGGTCAAACACAAAAACCCAAGACATATGTGTTATTAATGTTTTGGAACTACTTCTTAAGTGTATAGTAGAAAAATGTGTGAGTGGCTGTTGTGTTGCAGCATCTGAGGTTTTTTTAGTAACACGAGTTAGGCTGAGTCAGTCCACTAAGGAGGGAACAATATGTTTCACCCTTTGAGAGGAGCTCCTGTACTGTCTCTCAAAAACAACAGGCCATAATGAGATGCGAAAGTGCACTTGAGTGGAAAACAGAGGGGAGAAGGAAGTTAAAATTAGACTGTGGTCTGGAAAGCTGGAGCCCTAATAGCTCCATGTGGTCAGCTGGTTGGCCACCAAGCCCAGCAGATAGACAGGAGTGGAAACCAATCTTAAGGAACATGCTATTTACGCTGACCTCAGGCCCTGACAAATAAAACACATTTTGAGTAAATGCAATGAACCTCAAAAATGGCAAAAACATGCTCTTTGATTTGGCTGCATGAGTGTTTAGAGCTTGTAGACGGATTGCTGACACCACTACACTGTGGTAATCCAACTGTCTGATACGTCTGTTGTCAGACGCAGCTGTGACTCGGCTGAGCCGGGGTTAACAGAGGTGAATGTACCTCTTTGAGGTGGTCTGCGCTGCCCCAGGAGGCTGACCGCTGGTGAGGACTTCCCTGTTCTGCTCCTTCATCATTCCAGAGACCTGGAGTCTGAAACACAGACACATAAAAGTTGACACATAACCATGTGTTACACAACTTCACATCACTTCCTTTCACAGGTTTCAATTGCCTGGGGATGCAAATATGTGTAAAGATATTACATCAACTTTAAAACCTAGAAGTAAAAGACATGCAGGTTCTAAGATTTGTGGGAGTTGTAGGGTGGCTTATTGTTAGCTATCAAATAACTGAAAGGTCACAAGAATGGTCCTTGCTAATGCGTAACTGAGGCCGCATTTTTCTGTCCAAACCCACAAGAAACCTAACCTAGCACAACCCGAATCCACCAAGCATTCTGGTTTGTGTCAGAGCCTGATGCAGTGACTGTAAGACACAGTGTTTGTGTCCCTGTTGTAAATAACTACATAGTTACACAAACACTTCACTTAAACAAACAAACTTTATATAAATACAGGTTCACCTACATATATTCAAATATCCAGTGTGTGCAAGGGAGGTCCTGGGATATTTTAAGATCTTTACAACAAACTCAAGAGATGTCTCTGATTAAAAAAGCTAAATAGCTTCCGCAATCTCTCAGTGAAGTCACTCAAGATGTGGGCATCAAGTAAATATCCAAAATGCTAAATGTTTGTATAAGCAGTTTGAGAACGATGTGGGTGAGAGCAGTAAATGAGTGCAATGTGTTCAAAAGTGAAGCTGAAAATCTGGAATCAATGAAGATGAGGAAAAACAGTCATGAGATACCGTCCCCGAGGAAAGAACTACGTTCAAGAGGAAAAACAGAAAAGTCACAGCAAGTCTGACTGTTTCCATTAGTGAGCCAGGTTAAGATAAATACATCTGTGACAGGGCATAAAACTATTTTTGTCTTTAGGCTAAACTGTTTTGTACATTTCAAAATCCACCATCCTTCATCATCATTTAACGAGCCCAACATAGTTGGAGAATATAATTACAGGAGTATCTAATAATAAATAGGTTTCTCCCACATGGAGGCATCATTGTCAGTAAGAGGTGACATTTACAAGGATGTTATTCGCAGCTGGTTTTAGTTTCACCTTCCGTAGCGCAAGTCTACAAATAACTAGTAACTTTTCAGCTTGTATATCCCAATGTGATTTACAGAATACGAGCAGCACAATGTGAGTCTACAGAGACATTTGATGATGTTGTAAAACCAGTATGAAAACATAATATACAAAACATTTGAGCATAGACGCAGTTCTGTCTAACTGAACATGTCTTTTAGCCCTCTGCTGTATAAACAAGGAAATGGTTAAGTTATGTAAATATATGCACAAGCAGAAAGACTGAGGATGTCTCATAGGGTTGTTAGAAACCACACACTTTCCCCCTGGTTATGCATATCAACAGGGCCTCTAGTCCCCAAACAAATCCTTAAACATCTGACGTTTCTCTGGTCAGCACAGAAGTACCAAACAGCTTAAATGTCAGTGTCTTTGCACTGCCTTACGTCTGACCCCGCACAAACAGCAAAACCTCTATGACTCTGCAGCGGACGCACAAGCCCTGCCCTATGATTTGGAATATCACACCGAATAATGAGGAACACCCGTGAAGCCGTTTGCGTTGGCTTGCTGGCTCTGGTTCCCCCTAGAAAAGGACAGCGAGTTAAATGGCTGCTTGTGCTCTCATAAAGAGACCACTATGCTTGGCCACACTGGACGGCAGATGTGTTGCTAGCCTTTAGCATTAACATTTTGTGCATGGCCTATGGAATGGCTTGTGCTGTTTGATGCTTCAGCCAAAGACTCAGTGACTTGAAGCTGCAGCCCGATCCGCTCATGCAGAATACAGAGTACTGTTAAAAAGGGCGGACGGCCTTTATGGAGCCATGAACTTAGCTGTTGAGGAAAAACTAAGTTCTCACAGATGTTCTATGACGTCAAGTAGGCATGCTACTCTCAATACTTGTATCTCATTGTGAAACGCTTGTAATTTCCATTGAGCTGCGCTTGCTTGAAAACCAAAAGAGCAAATTGAAAGGGGGGGGGGTCATTTTCTTATACGGGACAAAGTGGTGTTGTTGGTATTATATTCAGGATCATTAACAGAGCTCATCTAGTTCCAACTTCCTATTATTGCTGTTGTACCAAAATTGGCTGTAATTCACCTCGAGAGCAGTCACGAGCGAACGGAGTTACACTGCAAAAATTCTACACCTTCCTCTTCAAATGCCCCATAATTTTTTTATAGGGAGAGCGATTTTGCCTATACCATGCCAGCATTCTGCTAACGCACGCTAATTGGTCAGTTAATAATTTGCATCCGAGTGTGACACAGTTCCTCATGACACTCGGAGAGAAGAAAATTAAGTTGAACGGCCGTCTAAAGAAGGACCAATCGGATGACTGTGTATGACAGTCAAATGTAAATCTGGCTAAAGTAGCAGCTGCTAACTGGTCATGGAGGAATTTGCTACATTACACGCTCACACAAAAACAGGCTCCAGTGAAACCTAAATGGTTAATGCCATGAAGAGTCTCGTGGTGTGCAACATCAAAAGTATTTACAGACAGATTTAGAACTATGATCTAAAAGGTGGGAATCTATTCTAATGTTACTTTATTGATTGTTTCTGCATAGAAAATATATATTACATAGAAAACATTTTCAGGCTGCAGCTCCACAGACAGTCATTAATTCTGGACTATATGTGAGCTCCCACTGTACAAACCAGAAGTAGCGAGAGTGGAGGTGACAATGACTGTGCCTTTCTGACAGTATGAAGAAAAATAGTTCAAAAGCAAAATACAGTATGTTGACACTTGATGTGCTGATTTAGCCCAAGGCTAATAGCCTAGTAGTTTGCATTTTATGTTTAACACTTAAACAACTGTGGTCTTTGGGGTATTTATTTTCCAAACATTTAATCTTTCAAATACAAAGGGGACTTTCCACATCAGTTTGTTTTAAATCTCAAGAATGCAAATTTCTTATCAGCAGACCACACCTATCCTGGTAGGGGTCATGTTTTTCTTTTCATCTCAGTTTGGAATCAAGGTGAGCATGTTCCTCTGGTTATCAATAGTACGACAAGACAGTTAAAAATACTGCAGGCTATATTGACTGTTCCCCCAAAACAAATTGTCTGTCAACAAGGACACCCACCTTTATTTACCTCAGAGGCCCTTTTATCATGCTAGCTCTTGAACTTCCAGCCCAAGTTGTGTGTTTTGTGGACTTGTACGCCAGGTGTTTTGTCTGATAATGTACTGCTGTACAGATAAAAAAAACCTTTTAGCATAGCCTGCAGCTTTCTCCTCATTATGATTCCCACCCAAGGGGTTACATGCTGGCAACATCCTCAAGAATCCAGCTCTGTTCCAAAGCAGGAAACAATGACTGAGCTTCAATAGCATTTCAGAGGAATTTGAGCTGGCTTGTTTAGATTGCACGTTGAGACGTGCGGGCGAAGTGTCTTTGCTATTATTTGGTGAGGGTTAAGATGCAGTGTAAGGATGTACATTTTGATTGTTGAATTAGTAAACCTGTTATCTTGAGCATGTCTGAAACTGTTGAAGCGTTCCAGAGAAGTGGAGCGATACCATTAAAAGATCAGTTTTGTTGTTTATCCAACATTAATCTCCATACAGATGAACCAATAATCTACAACACACACCCACGTTTACAGTAGGATCATATGAGGCAAATATTGAGGTAAATGGTATTGGATGAACAGCGATAATATTCATAATATACAGCGCTCAAGTAGGATTAATTGTGTTACACTGCAAAAAGTCTGATGTCTCTCAATGGCAGTTTCATTATGCATTTGTGTGCCACGTGTTTGGCACCAGTGGTTCAGCAGCTGTCAGCAAAGCAAAGCAGCATTTTACCAGGCCTAGTTTGTGAGCCAATAAGGAAATGGTTTGAACAGATTCAGTGGCCTGAAAAGCATCAGGTTTGTTTATTCTGTTTTTCCATCATTTCATATTAGAGATACAAACTACTGATAAGCTATTTCAGCTCATGCAGCAGAACACACGTTGGTGGTCAGCTGGCTGTCGGCCGGAGCCTTTGTGTTGCATTCAAGTGCAACTTTTAAACAGAAGATGTGAGGTGACGCACGCTGTTTGATCAGTCTGTCTTTGTCGGTGTAAGTTCTTTGAGGTTTGCTTGGTGTGTTGGGGCCCTAATTTTCATACAGGCATTCTACGTTCTGTAACCACAAGGCCCATGGCACACAGGACTATCCCGGAACAGTGATTAGCATATGTATGGGCCCTCTGCTCCTCGACTCCCACACAAAAGGCAGGCGGGCCATGCAGCCACAAGGGCCAGGTGGTAAGCAGTGGGATTTCTCCCTGCCTAAGCCATAGCCGGGGGGACAGGTGCAAACAACTTCACCTCCATGCAGGGCTACATTACAGCTCAAAGGAGAGGCTGTCTTGAACTTGAGCAATGCACAACAAAAGAACCCGAGGACCTTTTGTCTGCTGCTTTCTGCTGTTGTTGTCTTTTAAAAAGAGCTGGGCCCAGGCATAGCTTGTTAACAGGAAATCGGACAATCCTTGGGAGAGTTTGTGCATTTAATCGCCGAGGGATTGTCAAGTGTGTTCACTCTCCCACATCACAACAACATAGACAAATGTTTTCCATCTAAAATTTCCACAGACAAATCTCTTAGCTGGATTTTGTATGTCCCCATATCACACAGGCAAATGTCACAATATGCCAAAGAAACAGAAGTTAAGTATGTAAAAACACTGTGTAATTGTGCACTGACGTTTCTGTGCATTTTTCAAGACAAGATAATTATCAAACTGATTTTCCATACTTGTCCAGTCTTTCCAGGGCTGAACAGGAACCCTGTAATTAGAGGTGTTTATTCAGCATACAGCCACTTCAAGAAACCCTGCTCAGCCCTCTCAGAACTTCCTCAGCCTACACACAAAGAAATGAAGCCCATGTAAATGAGGCTTGGCTGTCCTCATTCAGACACATGAAAGGCTTCTGTTAGCAGAGAGGGAGCTGCCCTCGTCATGATCATACATATTCAATATTCTTTCATAACACCCCCCCCTCCAAAAATACAGGAGGAAAATCAAGCCCTTTGAGAAAACCAGCATTTAGCCATGGGTCACATGGTGAGATTTGTGGGTGACCAGTAGTGGGGCTGCTCTCCAGGAATAGTGTGGTCTGGTCCGGGTCAATGTGAAAAGCATCCACGGGCCTTATTAAGTGTAATAATGTTTTAAACTGTGGTGCTGTGAGGGTGTTTTAGACTATTTACTCTAACGTCTAATAGGCCTGAATTGGCAGCAGAGTCCACAGCCACCGCATCACTATAACGAAATCTTTGGCCGGGGTTTGTAAGTGTTTCCTTCACAGGCACTATGACACAAACCAATAGTTATTTGGAAGTCCTAGCGAACAGAGAGAGGTGGAAGTGAGTGGTAAATGTAGGGATTTACCAGACACGCTGACCTAAGGGCGGGCATATGGCATTGAAATATTTAATGTCAAACTTAAGACTAACCTCTACTCAATGTAGAATATAATGGGTAAATGACTTAACTTTTCCAAACTTTCATTAAACCCTTGCAATGTGCTTTTCTGATTGATACCTAAAACGTGAATATGATGTGATGATCAATCACTGCCACTGGTTGAGCTGAATCAGAGAAATCCTTGAGATTATTTAGCAATGCTGGTATCACCTCAAGTTGACAATGTTGAAGTTGTTATACAGAATGCACTTCTACCACTTCACAGTTGATAATGAAAAACATGAGAGCACAACCCTTCCCAAGATTCTCTGAATGTTTGTACCTGTGTGGCTTTGTCTTTCATACAGGAGGCGTACGGTCCATGTGAGTCCCGAGGCCATTGGCCTGTGAGGTAAGGACCTGTGATGGCATCCAGGGAAGACGTCCGCCGGATGCTACTGGAAGTCCGAACCTGCAACTTGGATCTTTCTGCTGTGAATTGGAGAAAAAATAAAGAAACAGGATGAGGCACACACACACAGACAGACAGACAAACACATGCAGGCACCAATGCTTAGTGAGCAGTAATCCCAGCCACCCTGAGGCATCTTAGACATTCTATGTGCCAAATTTCCTGGTTGTGTCAATAAGAATAAGTTCAACATACAGTGCTAAAATGTCACAGTGTAATAAATCTCTCAGTGCAAATGTGTAGCCCAAGACTAGGAGCCATATTCTGAGCAGCAAATCGACTCTTCATGATTTAAATTTTTGGCAAACCAGGACGAAAAAAACAAATACCTAATCAAAGTAAAACAAAGTTTAGACAGGTTTGTTAACTGTGTTTGTTGTTTAAAGCACAATAAATATTGTAGCGTGATAATCACATATTGAAAGAATGAAAATATTTACTGAGGTCCCAGTCAGAAAAAAAGTTAAGACAACATCTCCAAAAAACAAAAACACCAAAATCAACACTTTCACCCTCACATCTGTCAACCACTGCAGCAGTGTTTCATTCCGACAAAAAAATATTCCCTCACAATGTGTAAAAAAATAAGGACGAGCGCAGAGATGAGTGGGTCCGAGATCCGAGGCCTGAAGCAAATGTAAATGGCCGAGCAGGAGTATCTGATGTTATGAGAGCAGGCCGTGGTGAGCCAGAGCAGTTAAGCACACACCACCCACATAAGAACTCATAAACAACCACACCACAATGCACATCAATACTGCCTGCATCCACTCAACATTCCTGCAGTGACACGCAGTAAGAGAGACAGGAAAAACAAAACACACAAACACAAAGACATTAGTATGAGATCAGTGTGAGGCTGCAGCGAGAAGTGGATTCAATTCATTAGGTTCATTTGGTTGATTAACTCAAGTTGAAGAAAGCTTTGTTTCTGTCGGACCAAAGGAATATAATGATGATCAGGACATTTACTCTGTTCCTCGTCTACGTTGGCTAAAGCTGAGGCCTTTCCAACATCACACACACAGACTAAACCATCTACATGAGGCACCCCTCTCCTAGCAAAACTACACAGCCATTTACTGTTGTTCTTTGTTCATAGAATACACAGGCCTACCCAGCCAAAGGTATTGCCTAAGTAAGCTTACTGGACTACAATAAAATTCCCTGAAGCATTGTAGACAAAGGAAGCAGGCTAAATTTCCATCAATATTGATACAGGCCAAGCCAGCGCTCTCAGAACCGGGATTGTGGATATTTTCCATCGTCTCCCCCTCGACTTGCCAGACTAGAATAATCTCCTGATGAGAAAAGAGTGTGAAAGAAGCCAAGACATCAAAGCGGTCCATCTGCGGATTTCGGGGATAAGTAAGTGGTGTCTGTGATATTAAAGAAGTATTTTTCAGACTGAATTTAAATAAGAACTGGTCATTTGACAAGCTGTGGGGGAAGGAGCGAAATCTCCACATTTCCAGGGATAAATGGGTGGTTTATTAACTGAAGGGGCAGAAGCAAATATGAAAGCAAACATGTGGTCCAAATCAGTAAACCATAGCAGAACGGTTTCCTTTAGGTTTTCTCAAGGCCGCATGAAACCGGTCGAGAGGAAAAATCTAAATATTTAGCTTCATCTTGTGATCAGGGAAAAAAAAAGAAAAAGAAAAATCACAGGACTTTTGCTATCCCAGAACTGCTCAGCTAGATGACAAGACATTTTAGTTGATGCTTAAGTCCTGAATTAAATGTATTTAATACAGTTCAACTGGACTTTCAATTGCTCACAGCACCTAGATGGTGGATAATAATGAAACAATCCCTATAGTTCATCTGTCAAACATTAGTCATACACTCAGCCACCCTGCAGTTCATAGTTCAACAATATTATACATCAGTTATTTTAGTTATGTGTGTTGAATGTGGGAAGTAATTTCAAGTGGAATCGTCTTTCATGCAATATGTAAGATGGTATTTATCTAAAGCAGGGAGGTTTAAAGTTATGAGTTTCAGCATCTGTCCCTCAGCTGGTCAGGAAATGGCTTGTTACTATTAAAATTATCTCTCACCGAGTCCAGTAGGTACCTCCCACAGCATGCCAGCGTGGACTGGTTTGGGAATATCTAGATGAGATAGAAAGGTATGCTAACAGTGCTAACAATGGCACCTTTTGTGACGGAACAATCTCCACATCACATTACCCTTCACCTCCCAGACGCGTCACAATGCCAAGCTGTGATAAAACTACAGGAGACACAGTACAGTTCCAGAGTCAAGTGATTTGGACAACAGGTTCATTTTCAGATTTGGTCCTACTCTGCAGTTTGAATGGGTGACAATGAAGCAGTGCTGTTTCAGCACAGCTGGCACTTTGACACAGTGTGGGACTTTCATTGTTGGGACGGTATGGTAAGAGAATGATGTCATTATGGTGGATCTGAAAGGTCATAATGTGGAATAAAATGCTCTTTACTCTGTCCTTGATCGTCAGGCCAAGAAGTGAACACTGGTCCATTACCACAAGCACATTGTCTGGCACTAACACTCATGGTACTTTAGGGCACTTTGGACTGGATCTCCCACCGAATGGCAAGCATTATGTCGGTGAGTGGGTTCAAAGTACTACAGTGAATGAGAAATTACAAAGTGCAAAGCCCACTGCTTCAGTCTAGTCGAGGTTGGCTGCTGTGATGACAGATGAACAAGGCTAAATTATGCTCACGCTAAGGCTACATCCATGCTAATACGTTCAATCTCCGTCCACTTGGGCGTTTAAGATCCATTTCAGAAAAAACCCTCTGACACACATGGAAATGCATAACACGTGACGTTCCAGTGTCAACCAGAGTGTATATCAAGATGGACGACGCGTCTTCACTTCCTCCCACAATCGAGAAATGAAACTAAAATATCCCAGATACGTACGCCACCATCTTGGAGGCAGAGTAAGACAAGCCGCAATCAAATACCTAAAAGAAACATGAACATTATGTAGTTAGGTCAATCAACATGTAGGAAGCGGGAATTATAGCCTATTCTGCAGCCAGCCACCAGGTGGTGATTGAGATGCTTCGCCTTCACTTTTAGGTAGCTTCTGATGTCATCCATCTTAATATGCAGTAAACAGGAAGCAGGTTGTCAAGTCGTAGTTGGTTGATTAGTTACATAAAAAATACTATGAACAATGGTGGAGACTGCGTCATTGTTTCCCAACTCTCAGTTTGAACACATCCATGCCAAAACGTTCCCTGCAGTTTTCAAACTAAAACAGGGCCAGCAGCATTGGAAACTCCAGAGTAGTAAGGACGGCAGGCGTAAACATACCAGTCGCAAAACATGGTGGTGTAAATGTAGCCCACTACTTATTGACAGAAATAATTTGCATGTCTGACTGCGAGTAGTAACCAACCCTTCAATGGTATTAGGAGTGTCGTCATATGAGGCCTCTCATGTATGTTTGGACTGTGAGGTCACAGCCATGATGGAGGGTCAAGCCTCCATCATCACCACTGACATGGGACACTGGCCTGGGTAAGAGGTCTTCTCTTTCAGAGGACCGAGGTATGCGTGGCATGCCGCAGGGGTGGGAAATCAATACGGACCGTTAGCCAAACACTGGTGAAATTCATCATGCCTGGTAAGGCTGCATACTCGGTTGTTGTAGAAAAGACTTTGTTTCCTGCCTTGCATGGTACACTGGTCAAGGTTGGAGGTCATCTCATTCAAAGAACCGTGGAATGTGAAGCACGGCACAAACATAAAATTCCACACACAGCTCTACGATATCCGACAGTCTGCAGAGACATGAGGACTGCCACTTGGGAACAAAGTATGGGGGAGATGCTATTAGACAAGGCTGATGGAGGAATGCGGTTGATGTCCAGCTTGTGGCAATTTGTGATCTAATCTTTTTTAATACAGAACATTATCGCACATCATTACTAAAACTCAGAAACTCCCTGTGAGGTTTTACAGAACTAGAATGAGACTCTTTGTCTCCAGACTTCAGGAAAAGCTTGTTGTGTTCACACACTTGCACATCACAACATCTTGTCATTGTGTGGTTGTGCCTGTGTTCTGTGTAGAAAACACAGGGTTTACAGAAATTAAAGTAGTATTCTTCGAGCAAATAATGCAGTTCTGGCCTTCAGCTACAGGTCAGAAAAACTCAGCCATAGCGTGGATATATGGTGGGAGACGCTGCCACATAAATGAGATTTAGTGACGCTTCAGGAAATGCAGACTTAAGGCTGCCTGGACTCTCATGTCCTCCTTCTGTTTGTCTCCTAATCACTCCCAGGGAGCAGCTGAGCATGACATGAACCGCTGCAGCTCTTGTCTCCACAAGAAGAGCGACACTGTGAGAGTCAGCATATGGTCTGAATGTGTCAAGTATGCTGCATGTGTGGAGTCGACAACACCTGACCATTCGCTCAGGCTCAGCACAGCTTCTGCTGGGACTGACGTGGCCCCTTTTACAACCGAAAGCATGTTTTTCTGCCAATTATCTCCTCCCCTCTCTCCTGTCAAAAGTCCATAGGAAGTAACAGAGCCAACAGTGCACTCTATTCTCTTTATGAGTGTCTCATTGTGTAAATGGATGATAGGCTTAATAGTTAATGCAGCAACCTACTGCAAATAAAGTGTTCCAGACTCACAGGGTTACCACCTTGAATGTGATATCTGACCTATTCCTGCACCACAGTAATAATCAAATGTAAATGGATAACTGTGGTGTGAGCGAACAATACACGTGGTGACACTGCATTTCTTGGCCTACAACAATCGGGAGTGTTTTTACCTCTGGAAACAGGAGAGTCGGGGGGACAGGAGGAGTCCCTGTTTTCGGGGGACAGTCTTGGCTTTGCGCTTCCTGAACTGAGTGTCGGGCTGGAGGGGGTGCTGGAGCCCCGGCTGTTCGTGGCTCCTCCGTGGAGGGTCTGCGCCCGCGTCGGGCTGCTCTGACCCGCACGCAGGAGCTGGTAGGGCACGGTGGCACGGAGGGGGTGCAGACGGCAGCTGCTGCCTCCGCCGCCGCCGCCACCACCACCACCACCACCGCCGGGAGAGCCCGCATTGCTGCGTCTCACCCTCGCCTGCTGGAGCGAGTTGCTGGGGGCTGACATCCTCCGAAACTGGCTGTAATTCCCTGGAGCAGGAAGAGAGACGAGCTGCCGGAGTCACTGCTTCTCTGGAGGAGGAGGTGGAGGAGGAGGAGGAGGAGGAGGTGAGGAGGGTAAAATAAACATTAGCTTGTTAGCAAAAAAACAAAAAACGTTAGCTTCCTTTTTTTTAACAAACTCTAACTCCTGCGGCGGCGGAGGAAAAGCTCCTCCGGGCGGTGTTCCTCCGCACACTCACCGTTCGGACTCTAACACATCCCGGCAGCAGCTGTGAGCATCGCGGGGCAAAGTTTGACACAAGTTTTCTTCACTTTTCGAAACGTTTTACTTGGTGCTTCCCAGCCGCCGCTGCCTCTCCTCCATCACGTCCTCACTCTGAATGACAGTTGCTGCCGCCTCACTACTGGTTGATGCGTGTGGGCGTGACACGCCGCGCGCTCCTCCGCTGCCGATTGGACAGCGGCGTCCCACACGAGCGTCGCTGATTGGCCCGAATGTGTCTACCGGGGACTTGTACTTTCAGCCAATCACGTCCGCGGTGTGTCAACACGGGATAAGTTTTAGAGGAAAAGTTTTTACTCACTCACTCACACAAACTGTTTGATTAAAATAAAATGTGGTGGGGGGAAGAAAAAAAAATCCATATTACAGTTTAAAGATAATAAGGAAATGATATGATCTCAGCTTGTGGTGCAGTTAAAACTATTTTCAACTTTTTAAAAACCTTTTAACTTTTATTTATTTGTAGGTGCAGTGTACATTAATATAAATGTACCAGAGTTGGATTATTTTCATCTGCAAACAAAGACAGAGAACAAACACACACACATATGACAGAGGATGTTAACACTGTTAAGCCCAATGAGACAAATGTAAATGTTAGTGTCTTTATCCCCTTCTAAGGTCTTTTTCTTTTATATTCTATTATAGCTTTAACAAATACTACTACTAGTAGCCTATTTCATTACCAGCATTTTTCTGTTGTGTTTTGAGCAGATCAATCATCTAGTCAGGACTTTGAGCTGCACTAACCTTACTGAAAGGTGCTATACAAATAAATAATAATGAATAACAGTGACTCATCGATTGAAAGTATTTTTTTACTGACTGCTTCACTCTCTATTAAAATTGCAACACCTGTTTGGGGAGGGTTACGTCATCTGATATTATTCATACTACTACGAGTACTTTCCTTCGTAACCAGGCTCTTATCAACCCTTTAAACTAAACAGCAGTTTGAAGGGTTTTCTTCTTTTGTTTTATATCATTGTAAACTGCAGAATTTTGGGGATTTTAGTCTTCATCATGTAATGGTGATTTGCAGTCTCAGGTTTTGTTGTTAAACCTTGTTGTCCTGTTTCACTTCTGCTGTGTATTTGTGTTTTTCTTCAACACACCGAAGTCAAATTCCTTGTATGCCAATTAAGTTGATTTCGATTCGGAACATTTGGTACGCTGGTGTTTTCCACGATAAAAACTGAATTTCAGTGTCAATTTTTTTTGCCAACTTGAACCAGGATTCTTTAAAAAAATGTGAAATCAGAAAATGTACAATTACACGATAATTGGGAAAGCAGAATCTGCCGAGGACAATCGTGATATGTCTGAAAGCTCCACAGTTGCTATAACTGGAATTTAGATTGAAGATCTAAGATTTGGCCCATGTGTAGTTTTTTTTTTTGGTCATCTAGAACCCCTGAAACCGACGTGTTGCTGTTTTCGTGTCACCTCCCAGCCACAGTTGATGGTCTGTGATAATATGGGAGTTCCCATGGGAGAATAACGTGTCACTCAATGCGTTTATGCAAAGATCGAGTACGGACATGGTAGAAAAACCCCACGCCATCTGTGTCTATGAAACATGATAATGTAAAAATAAACCATGCAAACGTATGGAAAACACCCCATTCAGCAGTGCTCCAATTAGTCAGTCGGAATTTATTTAAAAGGCAAACACAAGAAAACACTGAAAAGGATGAAATTCCAGCCACTCTGTTTTTCAGGACGCTACACGGCTCGCCAATTTGTCAGCTCCACTCCAAAATAGTTCACAAAAGGGCACGCAGGCCTATAAAACCTCCCACACCGGGGAGAGATCTTGGTGAAAGCAGCATACAGTAGCTCTTGTGCGCCCCCCCGTCCAGCACCCTCCTCCCTACTCCATGACTAAGTGATTTAGCCAGCTCTGGTGCAGGCCGCCTCTCACTTACAATGCCTCCCTGGGTAAGTGACAGAGCGGGGAGGGTGGCAGAGAAAGAGAGAAACCCCATTTACAATGCGGCTTACACACGGCGGTCCCCCCCACAGACGGCGCCCATCCCTGGATTGATGTGTGGTATGCATAGTTTTTGGGTGCAATTTGGGCACCAGAGGGATGGAGAAAGAAAGAGAGGGCAAGTCTGTGTATGTCACAGGGTGTAAGAGGCGGAGGGGGGGGCTTACGGGGCTCAGGCTGTCTGTTCTCTCGCCCTCTCTTTGAGTCAATAGTGTTCCGGCAGCTGAGGTTCTTTATGAGGGGAACAATCTGGAGGGTCTTGTCAGAGTGCCGAGCAGCTGCTGTTTTCTGGGGAGTTTCTTTCATGAGCCACAGGCCTGGAGTGGGCTGCTGAATACAGAAGCACCCTCCCGCCTCCTCCTCCCTCACAGCCTCCTCCTCACCCGCCACCCCGACCTTCTCCGATTCCGCATCCTCTCCCCCCTTCCCTGAAAAACTACCCCTCACACTGGAAGCCCTCCCGCACAATGCCAGATGAACAGTGGCACAGGGGAACATGAAGAGAGCAAGAGAGTTTTGTTATTGTGCGCTACCCTCCGCCTGGTCACCCGGGGTACCATCCTTCACCCCGAACAATGCTTTCATGAGGTATGTGAAGATCCTTTCATACGACAAACGCAGACGTTAAATAGCGCATTAAAACAAAAATGTAGCTCAAACATATTGGCACCTGTGTTCACATCTTTACAACCTGATGTGTGAGTGGATTTTTCATCATATTTTTCAAATGGATCATAATAAAATCACAAGCCTGATTCAGGTTAAAGTGTATTTCTCCTGAGTGGGACTTTGATTAGCAAAGCAGTGAGTTTTCATTTGCTCCCTTTATGTGATTGTGTCAGTTAGTCGGATCGGTAACACACACCGCCTCCCTTCTTCACGCAGGCCTATGTTACCACGTTACATTCACTAGACTATACTTAACGGTATTTAATTCTATTGCAGCAGCCGCATTGGAAGAGGGACGCTGCCGTCACCCTTTGTCCCTTGCCCAGTTGTCGGTGTGGCGGGTGCAGCAGTGAACCCGCGCTGGTTGGCCTTGGGCTGGTGTTTGGCTTCAGAGTCCGACAGGCTCCTCCTGTTTTAGCTGCTGTCTGAAGGCACCAGGTTCCCCGTGGTGTCCAGCTGCATGCATTTACATGTACAAGCTGACACTGGGCACTCTGTGTGGTCTCTGTTGAAAGACACACGGAGGTCAGTTTAGAGGGGAAGCACACGTAGACAAGAAGCAACTTGTAAACTACCGATGAAACAGGGCTTTGGCCACAAGATTATAGGAGGTCACAGCACGTTGGTGTGAATCCAAAGAACTAATTAAGAAACCTGTTGTTAAAAGCTGCCTTTGTTGGTTTGTAGGAACATGGCTCACATTTCTGTATTTTTCTATTTAATAGCCCACAAAGTTAAACAAACCACAAAATAAACCTAAGAGGGTTTTGCTGCTGGGATATTTCCCCCACCTGACACTGCCTCTGTCTGTCATAGACAAAAGTCATTTTACTTTAACATTTAAACACTCAATCAAAACAATAACTAAAGATGGAACATGGGAGTTGAGTCTTCACCTTTCCCGAGGAAATTCTACAGGACGCAAACGTCGTTACCTTGAATAAAACTGATTTCTCTGGGTTTGAACATTGTTGGACACATTGTGGAAAATGTAAGTCAACAAAATATATATAACATGGGTCTAATTGTTTTTGGACATTTCATTGATGAAGAGTTATTTAAGTCTTATAAAGACAGACAATCTAGAGCAGTAGATGTTTTACAGATCAACAGAATCACTTGGCCCTTCACAGTTTTGTTTACTTTTGAGTTTATAAACAGATCTCTCAGTAATACAGGAATAACTGTTCACGATCGTTTTCAGAAATCCCTTAATATTCAGATCTTACATTTTTACTGATAGAGAATAAATGTATCTACTTTTAGATTCTACAGGTTTCAGTTTTGGTTTTTTTTTTTGGTTTCAGAATCAGACCACACGTCCACACATGTGCGGCCTCCAGTGAGAGTCCCACCTGAACCAGCTGAGCATGTGACCCGCGTGGCCGCCGTGTCGACAGTTGTGACACCAGGTGAACCAGTTGTTGAACTGAGCAAGTTTGTTCTCCCTCGTCAAGTCCACCTTCTCGTCCGACTTCCCTGTTCCTGCCAGCAAAATAAATATTCATCCACAAGTCATCAGTGACATCAGAGCGACGAGGAAACTGGATTGGCTGCTGCACTGACACTCTCGGGTAAACGTTGATCAAAGTCCATATATTCTCCCCTGCATATGTTCAGTATAATGACCACTTAAGCTGCTCAAAGATGTTCCCTGTTGGTGGAAACGTCAGCTGAGCATCTGTTGACACACTGGGCACTTTACCTGGGCAATTGGACACAGGTGTTCCCATGTTCATGAGGCAGAGGGCACAGCGTGGCAGCGGCTTCCGGCAGCCAGGGCAGCTTGTCACTTTTGATTTCGTGGGCGAGCCGCTGACGCCGTATTGGCTAAACCCGCGGCCCTGGTGAGGCATCGCCGAGCAGCTGTAGGAGATGGACTTCCCACAGAAGTTGCAGCTCACGAACACCTGGTCAAACACAAAGGTCGGTTGATAAGAGCCGGCGGATATGAAGGTAAAACCAACAAGCACATACCCACCAGCTGTCAGGATTTCATTTTTTAAGGGAGAGAGAGATAAGTATAAGATAATACAGCAATAATCCCAGCGTACTAAGCTGTAGTTATTGGAATGTGAGGCAGTGCCAAGATTTGTTTGCAGTGCCAGGGTACTCATAATCACCCACGAAGTACATTTGTAACATTCGGCTTTATAATAAAAGTATATTGAGGATAAGTTTGTGATTCTGAAGCAGAAAATAAGAAGATGAAGTGCTTGCTTTATGATAAGAATTACAAATCAGGGCTTGTGGGTGTTATGTGTTTGGCTGGTTGCTTGCTCTTCAGATTGATAGAGATAAACATTGGCTATAATAAGCAGCACAAATTCCCTACTTTGCTCAAAGGGCAGTAATGTCAGACAACAGTCAACGCTGTATCGCATCAGAGGAATATTTGGAAAACGGTTTTACAAAACCTAACCAGTAATTTATGATGACTGAGTTTATCAAAGTATTTATGGCTGCAACTTATTTTCAAAATATAACAAACTAGAATGGGGC